TTAAGTGAAACAAGTCAGGCAAAGAAAGAGAAATATCACATGTTCTCACTTATTGGTGGGAACAAAAAATAAATACATACATTCACACACACAAAATAAAAAACCAGTGGAGGAAGAAGACATATCAATTACAATTCTTTGAAGTCGATATGACAAGCAAACAGAAAGGACATTGTTGGGTGGGAGGGGGGAGAGGGAGGAGGGAGTGGGAGGAGGGAGGGAGGTTTTCGTGATGGGCCACAATATTCAACCACCTTGTATATTGACAAAATAAAATAAAATTAAATTAAATTTTAAAAAAACCCCAAATGCTAGAAAGGATGCACAGAAAATGAATCTCTTAAACATTTACTGTGTAAGTAAGTACAGACAGTCTGGACAGTAGTTTGACATTTTCTTAAAAATGTAAACATACATTTACAATACAACCCAGCAATCACACTCCTGGGCATTTATCCCAGAGAAATGAAATTTACATCCACACAGAAACTTGTATACAATCGTTTATGGCAGTGTCATTTGTAATAGCCAGACCTGGAAACAACTAAAATGTCCCTCAATATGTGAATACTTAAACAAACGGTGGTATATGCATACCATAGAATACTACTCAGCAATAAAAGGGAATGAACTATTGATACATGAAACAGCTCGGGTGGGTCTAAAGAGTAAAAAAAGAGTGGGGAAAGACAACAATCTCAGAAGATCACACACTATATAATTCCATTTATATAACATTCTGAAATGTAAAATTATAGATATGGAAAATAGATTAGTATCTACCAGGAGTTAGGGATGGTGGAGGAGCAGGATGTGGATGTGTCTAAGGGGGGGAAGGAAGCATAAGAATGAGCTTTGTGGTGATGGGATAATTCTGAATCTTCATTGCGGTGGTTGCACAAATCTACACTTGTGATGAAATGTCATAAAAGTATCTACACACATTGCACCAATGTCAATTTTCTCATTTTGATATTTTACTATAATTATGAAGGTATTTGGGTAAACTGTGTAAAATCAAAAACTCTTTCTTGACTAGTGGACAATGACGTTTGTTTTACGCCCCTCTTCCCCCAAAAAGTTTCCTGTTGCTTGGGGTCTGGTGCTTGAGAATTATTGTATTTCTTTTGTGGTACCATCTTTTCTTGTTTTTCATATTTCTAGTATCCCTACATTGATGTCTAGTCATCTGGTGTAGCATTAGCTTCTTCTGTTACTCTGGAGTGCTTTTTGAGGACAGAGACTCCTTCCTGTAGATTTGCTTTATATTGACCACTGGGTTGGATGCTTTAATATTGGTTCCAGGTAGACACAGTAGTGAAGTCTCTCTGGTTGCTTTGACAATATTCAACTTTGGAATTGTCTGTGAATGCCTATGTATCCTTGGCACTGTAGCACTCAGTGGTTCCTTCCTGAACTGACTGACACTATTGGGTTATTAAGGTCATGGGTGAGATCTCATGTTCTTGAGGGAAGCACCTGGGTGCCCTGTCACTCCTTGGCTGAAGTGGGTGACTCTGAGCAGTCTTGTTGGCACTCCAATTAGTGTCTTGTGACCCTGATAGGTGCACTAAGATGTACTGGTGCTCCTCAGCTTGAGTGGGTGACCCTGGGGAGTGTTTCTATTTCTTCTTTTCTGAAGGCAGATTCTCCTCCTGGGACCTTGCTTCTCCTGGTTGGGTATGGGTTTTTGGTGGCTGGGTTTTTTCTTCCATACTCTGTTTGGCTATCTTGAGTTTCTGCACTCACTGGTGGCTGCACATGTGTTCCTCCCCTGCCAATGCAGTCATTTGGCTGTGCAAGTATTTTTCCATACCTGGGTGTGAGACCCTGGTGATAGTGTAATTTCCCCTGTGGGTTGGGCCACTGGGTCATGAGGCCCCAATTGCTCACCTCTTTCTAGCTGCTCTGCTCATAACTCTCCATGTCAATGCAGTTGCGTGGTCTCCATGAGTAGTTCCCAGCATTAGGTACATGTTCATAGGGATAGTGTGATTTCCTCTGTGGTCTGTGCCTCTGTGTTGAGGGTCCGCCCTTGCTCTCCTCTTTCCACTGGCTGCACGTATGTCCTTCTCCAGGTCAATGCAGCTGCATCATCTCTGCAAGTAGTTCCCACACTGGATGCACAGGGCTGCATGCACTCACCACTTTTCTCTCTGCTCTTGCCTCATAAAACACAGGAACACCTGGATCTGGGCAAGGTGGGCCTTTTGGCACCTGGGATGGGCATTGGTGGGGATCTGGATGAACTGCTGTGTGAGGAGACTGGTAGCCACAGCCACAGAGCTCTGGCAGCTGGCGGCAGTGGTAGCTGTGGCTGCAGCAGGGAGTGAGATGAACTGCTATGCAGGGAGGTAGGCAGCTGTGGCTTCAGTGCTCTGGGGCCAGCAGCAATGGCAGCAGTGGTGGCAGTGGCAGCAGAAGCAATGGCTAGAGTGGGGAGTTGGATGGACTAATGTGCTGGGAGATGGATGGCTGTGGCCACGGTGCTCTGGGGCCACATGCTCCTGGCTGCTGCAGCAGCAAGCAGGATCAGCTGGTGTGTAGGAAGGTGGGCAGGAGCTCTGTAGCCAGAAGTGTCAGTGGCAATGGCAATTGTGGCAGTGGGTTGAAGCCCAAGCAAGAGGAGGATTACTGTTAGGAAGTGTTCAAGGCTGATCAGATTCTTTTTCCCACAAGGGTAAATTCCTCCTTTGCCGATCCTGATGTCAGAGATGTGGCAACTGAAGTCATGTGCCTCTTTCTCCTCTCTATACCACCCTCCTGGGTGTTTGGGCTCCACAGGGGCCTCACCAGACTCTTGCTGCCTTCCTTCACCCTCCCACTGATGCTGTCTTTAGTACTTAGCTGTCCGTTTTTTCTTCTGGTCTTTTTCTGTGGGAGAAATGTGCCCTGGGCAACTCTAGCCCACTATCTTGACACAATATAATTTCTTCTGTGAACTTCCTGTTCATAGTCTTTTCCCTTTTTTTCAGCTTTATTTTTTAATTGAATTGTATATTAAAGATTTTGACTCGGGGGCCGGCCCGTGGCTCACTCGGGAGAGTGCGGGGCTGATAACACCAGGGCCCCGGGTTCGGATCCCATATAGGGATGGCCAGTTAGCTCACGGGCTGAGCATGGTGCTGACAACACCTAGCCAAGGGTTAAGACCCCCTTACCGGTCATCTTTAAAAAAAAAAAAAAAAAAAAAGATTTTGACTCTTTTTCTAGTCTATCTGTTATAAATGTGTTTCCTAGTCTGACAATATATTATTATTCTATATTGTTTATTATGCCACTTGTAGAAGTTTTTAGCTTTTAAAGCCTTGGGATGGGCAGTACTTTTGCGGGCAAGACACAAAAACCATAAACTAAAAGAGAAAATATTGAGAAATTTGACTGTGTCTGTATAGTAAAATAATAATATACTATAACCAAATACGGTTTATTTCAGGAAGGAAATTATGGATCAATAATAACAAATCAATTAATATAATTTGTCACATCATTAGGTAGATAAAATTAGAAAAATATATGATTACCTTAAAAGATATATATAGAAAAAAATATTTATTAGTATTTAATATAATTTATTTAAAAATTCCCAATAAAGTATGAATTATAATATAAACATTATATTGGGAAATACTATCGGCATACCCATTATAGTCAGAAACATGTCAGGATTCCCTGTATATTGAATAACTGTATTCTGGGAATTTTGTCCAATTCATTAATAATAGAGAAGGAAATGAGGTATATGTATTAGCAAGGTGGTTTTTTACATGATAAATACACAAAAATTTAGAGTCTTCCTGTATTCCAGCAATAACCTCGTATAAAAAATATAAAAGTGGAGGGAATATTGGAATATATAAAATACCTTAAAGTAAACAGGAGTGTTTAAGACCTGTATGGAGAGTACAATTCAACTGCAAGGGACCAAAAAGATGACTTTGGTAAATTTAGACAAATATAATATTTCTGGATGAGTGGGCTAATTGTTAAAAATGTATGAGTTCTTTGTTAAATGAAAACAAATATAATATTCCTGCATGGATGGACTAAATATTATAAAGATATGCGTTTCTCCAAATTTATCTTTACATTTAATAGAATTTTTATTAAAAACTGATTAGGATTCTTAAAATTTGTCATAATTGTTAGTGTTACTATTAATATTTATCTTATTAAAGAAAAACTTTTCAGTTTCCCAATTGAAAAAAAGGCAAAGGATATAAATATAAAAGTTCATATATTAACAAATATAAAAGGCCATATATGGAAAAAAGATATGAATTTTCTAGAATAAAATAAATACCAATTAAAATTTTTTAGGTATTCAGTAAATATTTTTTAACTATTATGTGACAGATGCTATCCCATGGACAGGCATATAGTCCTGTGCAAAATAGGTATAGTCTCTGTCTTATAGAGCTCATGTTATAGGGATTTAAAATTTTTTTAAAATTATAAATAGAGATGAATGCTGTGGAAAAAAAGAGCTATGAGAGATCATAATGAGGGAAACAATTGTATACTGCTAGTTCAGAAATGTTTTTCTGAGTCAGTGAAAATAGGGGTAGAATTTTGGCCAAGAATAGGAGCAATGTTTTCAGGTGTAGAGAACATGTGAGAATACCCTAAGGCAGGAAATAACTTGGTGAATGTGAAAGAAATGAGCAGGAATCAGATCAGGTGGCACCTTGGAGGCTATAATTAGGATTTTATATTTTACCCTGTTATGGGAAGCCATTGAAATTAGTTAAACAGAGGCGTGACACCTTAGATACGCATTTTCACAAGGTACTCTGACTGCCATTCTGAGAATGAACTGGAGGGCGCTAGAGCAGATATGGGGAGAGCAATTAGAAAGCAGATGCAGTTGTCTAGGTGACGTGACTTGGGCTAGAGTTATAGCAGGGGTGGAGAGTGACGAGAGAGAGGGAGATTTTAGATGTTTTGGAGTATTAGTTGAAGGAACTTGGTAATTGATTAGATAATGTGTATGAGGGAGAATAAGATGTAAAAAGAATACACCAGGTTTTCTTCTGAGCAACTTGGTGGATGGTGGTGCTGTTTCTGGGAGCAGTAGAGAAGAAAACTGATTTGGGGAAATTTGTCATTTCAGTTTTTAAGTTGTTGAGTTTGAGGTACCTACAAAACATCCAGGTGATGATGTTGAAGATTAACTGGAGAAATATGTCTAGTGTTCAGTAGAGAGGTTGAGAATGGAGATATAATTCAGATTAGTGATTTCAGAGATGGAGTAGTTTGTGAGGATGAGGATGTGGCTATAGGAGTGTGTGGCAAATGCAGTGGGGAAACTCGTAGAAGACGAGAAAATCAAAGATCTGTGAGGCTTGATGTTGAATGGTTTAACCAAATGGTTATAAATATTACTTGGGACTAGGATGGAGAGGAACACTGTGATAGGAGCAACCAGAGGTTGTTATATTACTAACTTTAATAGAGGCAAAAAGTATAATTATTAAAGGAAGATGGGTTTACTTAGGAGAGTAGAGGAATACAATTAAGAAGAGGTATGGAGACTCCTGATCAAGATGGCAGAATAGACAGTACCCAGCATCACCTTCTCCCACAATCAATGAATTTACAACTACTAATAAGCAATGAATGCCAACTTGGGGCTGCTAGAGAGCGCAGGGATGAGGAGGAGAGACCTATGGAGTTCATGAAGGTGAAAGAAGCCACCATGAGAGAAAGAAAGGACCATTCTGACTGTTTGGAGCCCCGACCACTTCAAGACTGGCCCTGGTGAGCACACAGAGCAAGAGCTGGCAAAAGCCACTGCTGTGCCCTTCATATGAAGTTGCATGGAGGCAGCAGAGTAGAAGAGGACCTTGGTAGCTCCCAGGCCAGCAAGACCATTAACAGCGTTCCCGTTGACCCACACAGGAGTGAGGGGCCATAGACAACTGAAAAAAAGGAGCCAGTCAGAGGTGAGTGAGTCATCACAAGGGACTGGCACATGGGCCATACCATGGAAAGTGTTTGGAGTGCAGGTGGTGGGGGAGATGGGCCCACCCGAGAAACATTGGGGCACAGCATGTACAGCAGATCTGCCCTCCAGTAAGCACAGGACCACTCAGTAGAGACTGGTCAGGAATATAGACCTGCAGGGGGTGCAGTTTGCTGAAAAGACTCAGGACCAGACCAGAGTTTCCACACAACCCAGGTGTACTGGATCTCACAAGACCCAGAAGTGCTTACAAGGTCAAAAATTAAAACCTGAGCTGTACATAAAGCCTTCCCCAGAGAATCAGCATCAAAGCAGCAATTTAGCTCAACCACGAGCTCAAGTGCTGGTCCCCACAGGAAGTTCCCCCATTTTAAAAATATGCAAAGGACAACAAATTAGTTCCAGTGCAGAGTTTAAGTGGTGGGGATAGTGAATAATACAACACAGAACTGAAAGAAAAAACCAAAATACCCACAGATCAGAGACAAAGTTCTGATATTAACCAGTTAAGGTCTAATACCCCTAAAGAACACCTGTAAAACTTAGGACTGCAAGTTCCCCAGGCTCCCAAGCCAGGGCAGAGGGGATGCTGAGGGCCTCAGGTGCACCTTCCCCCCACACCCTCCCACCACCAGAAGTGTCCCAGGCTCCTGAGCCTAGGTGCTGGGGGTCTGAGAGCCTCAGCCATGCCCCCTGTTGTCTGTACCTAACCCAGTGACAACCACCAAGCTGCTGCTGGAAGTGCCCTGGGCTTCTGGGGTGAGGGTTTCCTAGGGCCTCAGCCATGCCCCACCAAGTCTGCATCCAGTCCAGTCACAACTGAGCCACTGCCAGAAGCCCCTTGGGCTCCCCTGCCAGAATGAGGGGGGTGCCATAAGCCTTGACCAGGCCCCTCTTCCTTCCTCCTCCTCCTTCTACCCTATTTCCCTCCCCTTTTCTCTCTACCCCTCCTCCCAACTGCTCCACAACATCTTAGAGTGTAAAAAAAAATTAATATTTTTTTTTAAAAAGAAAAAATAGTTGAGGTACAGAGGAGTGAAGACAAAGTATTGACTTTGTCCAACCTGTGAAGTACTTGAAGTATCGCAGAAAATAAGCTTCTATTTGAGAGAAGAAACTGTGCCTTGGGGAGTTTGCATATATTAAGTGAAACAAGTCAGGCACAGAAAGAGAAATACCACATGTTCTTACTTATTGGTGGGAGCTAAAAAATAAATAAATAAATTCACACACACACACACACACACACACAAAAAAAAAAAAAACGGGGGAGGGGGAGAAGACATAACAACTACAACTCCTTGAAGTTGATACGACAAGCAAACAGAAAGGACATTGTTGGGTGGGAGGGGGGAGAGGGAAGAGGGAGGGAGGTTTCGGTGATGGGCCACAATAATCAACCACATTGTATATCGACAAAATTTAATTAATTAATTAATTAATTAATTAATAAATAAAATAAAATAAAATTTAAATTTAAATTAAAAAAAAGATAGGTTTACGGCCAGGTTTTATCAGTGTCTTGAGAGAAAGGAGAATGTTTGGGAGGTTATATATCATTGAATAGGAATTACAGAAAACAAACTAGCAAGTTTTATGAGGGAAAGAAGGAATTTGGGATTGCACAGGGCAGAAGCACAGCACATTGCAGTAGTTATTAGTGATTAAGGGCAGAGAAGATAAGAGGAGCTTATGTTTCGATCAGTGACCAAAGGAAACAGCTGTGACGGCGCTGCTGACCGCTTCCTGGAGGATGATGGGCTTTCAGTTCTCACAGCATTCAGCCTAATGTAATTTTTTATTGGGTATTTGTAAAAATAAATGTACAATTTAGTGTTCTATTGTGCTCTATTTGTAGATAAAATAAATAGTAACTGTGAATTGTATTCTTTGAAAGCATGAGCCATATTGAACATAATTTATTTCAAAAAAATTTTATGTAAGAAGACATCATGGCTATATGTATATTTCCCTTTGAAATTTTTATTTTTTGCTGCACTTCAAATCTGTCTCAAATATTGATTTTAATGCAAATTTGTATCATAAACTAATAGTGTTCTGAAGTATTTTTACAAACTTCATCTCTACTGAAGCTGAGCTGTACTATAACTTGGTAGTTGATTAATTTGGCTTCTTAATACATTGCAATAATAAGTGTATTTTGTTGGTTATTTCTGTGGGGAATTGTGTACAATGTGAGTTATAGTTTTAATGTTTTACTTTTAATGTATTTGTGCCTTTATATTTAAAGAGTGGCTCAAGCAGACACCATGTATTTGGATCTACCAGTCCAGCAATTTACTACTTTTGGTTGGAGTTCATTTGTATTTAATTATAATTATTGATGTGGTAGGTTTTAAGTCTACCATCTTGATATTTGTTGTCTATTTGTTTTATCTCTTTTTAACTCCATTATTCATTCTTTCCTGCCTTCTTGTGTACTAACCAAGTGTTTTAAGTATATTCTATTTTATGTTTTTATCATTCTTCAGCTATGCTTCTTTGCATTATTTAAAATAACTGCTCTAGAGATTATAAGAAATGTATCATTTTTGAAGTATTTGTTTTTGTTTTGTTTTTACTGGATATGTAATTTTGGGCTGGCAGTTTTTTTTCTTTTTAGCACTTTAAAGATGATGTTCAATTGTTTTATCTTTTTTTATTCAAAATATTTTAACATTTACTTGTACATATTTATGGGGTAGAGTGTGTTGTTTCAATACATGCATAAACTGTACAATGATTCACTTAGGGTACACAGCATAGTTTTGTACCCCTTAGTCCACCAGTTATCTTCCTCCTTCCTCTCCACCCTCAGCCCTGTGATAACCACTGTTCTACTTTCTACTTCTATGAGAACCACTTTGTTGTTGTTGTTATTTAGATTCCACACATGAGTGATATCATGTGGTATTTGTCTTTCTGTGCCTGACTGACTTCACTTAACATGATGATTTCCAGTTTCATCCACGTTGCTACAAATGATAGTATATCTTTTTTTTTTTAGTAGCCGAATAGCATTTCATTGTGTATATATATACCACAGGTTTTTTATCCATTCATCCGTTGATGAGCATTTAGGTTGATTTCATCTCTTGGCTGTTGTGAATAGTGCTGCCATGAAAATGGAAGTCGAGGTGTCTTTCTGAAACAGTGATTTCATTTACTTGGTTATATACCCAGTAGTGGGATAGGTAGGTCATAAAGTAAATCTGTTTTTAATTCTCTGAGGAACCTCCGTACTGTTTTCCACAATGACTATACCAATTTACATTCCTGCCAACAATGTAGGAGATCTCCTTTTTCTCTGCATCTTCACCAGCACTTGTTATTTTCTGTCTTGTTGATAATAACCATTCTAGCTGGAGTGAGATGATATATCGTTGTAGTTTTAATTTGCATTTCCCTGATGATTAGTGATTTTGAGCATTTTTTTCATGTGCCTATTGGCCATTTGTATGTCTTCTTTGAGAAATGTCTATTCAGGTCCTTTGCCCATTTTTTAACTGGGTTATTATTATTATTATTATTTATTATTATTATTATTATTATTTTGCTGTTGTTTGAGTTCCTTGCATATTCTGGATATTCGTCCCTTGTCTGATTTATAATTTGCAAACATTGTCTCCCATTCTGTAGGTTCTCTCTTCACTTTTTTGACAGTGTCCCTTGCTGTGCAGAAGCTTTTCAGTTTGATGTAATCCCATTTGGGTATTTTTTCTTTAGTTGCCTGTGCCTTTGTAGTTGCACTCAAAAAAATGCTGCCCACTCTGATTTCATGTAGTTTCCCCTGTGGTTTCTTGTACTAGCTTCATAGTTTGGGGCAGTCTTTATTTCTAGAATTCCTTTGACAAACTTCTCATTCTGCTCCTGGATTGTTTTCCAGATATTATTTAATTTTCTATCCGTATTTTCTTGTGACTCCCTGAGTGTTCTTAAGAGGGTTATTCTGAATTCTCTGTCAAACATTTCATAAGTCTGCTGTTCCTCTGGGTCGATTGCTGGTGCTGCGTTTGTTTCCTTTGGGGTATTCTGAAATCTCTGTCAAACATTTCATAAGTCTGCTGTTCCTCTGGGTCGATTGCTGGTGCTGCGTTTGTTTCCTTTGATGGTGTCATTTCTCTGTTCTTTTGTGATCTTTGTGTCTTTGCATTGATTCCTGTGCATTTGAGGAGACTGCTACCTCTCCTGGGTAATATAGGTGTTCTGTGGTGGTGTTAGACATTTACTAGTTAATATCAGAGCTTTGTCTCTGGTCAGTGGTTTTGGTTAATTCCAAAATTAGGGGAACTTCCTGTGGGGACCAGCACTTGAGCTCTGTGCTTGCACTAAATTGCTTCTTTGCTGCTGCTCATTTTCTGGGGAAGGCTTTTTTTGTGGACTGGATTTTAATTGTTGCCTTTTCAATCACTTCCAGATCTTGTGAGTTCAGATACACTTGGGCTATGTGGAAATTCTGGCCTGGGACTGAGTCTTCCCAGCAAACGGCGCCCCCTGCAATTCTATCACCCTGACCAGTCTCCACTGAGTGGGCCTGTGCTAGTTGGAAGGCAGATCAGCTGCCCACTCTGCACCCCAGTGTTCTCCCAGCCAGCCAGCATCCCTCCTGCACTCCAAATACTTCCTGTGGGGTGGGCTGTGCTCAGGTCCCTTGTGATGACTCACTGGCCTCTGTGGGTCTCCTTTCTTCATTCGGCTACAGCTCCATGCTCCTATGTGGGTCCACCAGAACCCTGACAGTGGTCTCACTGGACTGGGGTTGGTAGGGTGGGCTCTGAGGCCCTCTTCTCCCATGTAGACTCCAGGCAACTTCATGCAAAGGTCTGAGCTGTGGTTTTTGTTGGCTCCTATTTTGTGTGTTGAAGCTTCTTCCTGCCTCTCACAAGGCTGGCCCTGAAGCACCTGGGGCTTGAAACGGACTGAGTGGTTTCTTCTCACAGCTTCTCCCACCTTCACGAACCCTATAGGTCTCCCTCCTTTTCCCCCGTGCTCCAGTGGCCCCGGGTTGGCAGTCTTCGTTTTTTAATAGTTATAAATTGGTTGATTGTGAGGGAGAATGATGCTAGGGACTGTCTATTCTTCCATCCTGATGATGTCACTCCTGCTTTTCTAATCTTTTGGTAATTATCCCTGTGTATATGTTAATTTTGCAAATATAAAAGTTGAAATGGAGGTAGAATTTCTGGGTTTTCCTTTTTAAAATTTTGACAAATATTGCCAAATTGGTTCCAATACATGTGCCACTTAATACTATCATCAACTGTGTGTGAGAGTTCCTGCACCCCTACTCCCTCATTGAGAAGTGTGCTTTCGAATGTTTTTATCTTTACCGATCACCAATTTGGTATGTGGGAATTGCTGTCTGACTGTAGTATATTATGAGGGAGATTGACATATATGAGCTTGTCGAACTTTCTTTTCATGGAAAAATCCTTTGGCAACTTTTCTATTAGGACTATTAGTCTTTTTCTTTTTGATATATAGAAACTCTTTATGCATTATGCAAACTAGTTCTTTGTGAGATTAGGTGCATTACTTTTTTTCTTCATTTTTTGTATTTATTTTTTGCAGTGGAGAAATGTTTGACTTTATATATTTGGATTTAAAAAGCCATAAAAAGGAAACCTCGAATAATTCAGAAAACAATCATTTAAAGCATGGCATAAAACCCTACATCCAAACTTTGAGCAAATTTTGTTTGTTATACCTTCAAAGTATATACAGAATCCTACTGTCCTAATTCAAACCACTATTTTCTGTTGCCTGGACTGCTGCAAAAGCCAGGCAACTGGTCCCCCTTCTTTTATCTTGTCTCTCCTTCACCCAGTCTATTTTCCACATAGCTGCCAGAATGATCCTTCTAAAATGTAGAATAAATTATGTATTTCATGCTCAGAAACCTCCAATGGCTTATCTTAAAATAAAACCAAAGTTCTTACTCAGGCCTAGAAGGATGTGCATTATCTAATACCTGTTACTTCTCGGACTTCATCTTCTTCTACTCTTCATTCACTTTGCTACAGCATCACTTTGACTTCTTTGCTATTTATTGAACATGCCAAATACAATCCCTTCTCAGCTCCTTCGCTTTTACCATTACCACTGCTTGAAATACTTTTTCTACAGATATCCCATAACTTGCTTCCTCACTTTCTATTTAAATGTTGTCCTTTCTCCTCACCTTCCCCTTTATTAAACTTTCTCCTTCCCGTACTTTTCTTTTGAATCAGACATATCTATCAATTAATAATCTATTTTTTTCTCCCTGTGTGGGATAACACTGCCCAATAAAACTTTTTGTGTTGATGGAAATATTCCGTATCTGTGGTGTTCAGTACAGTAGCTACTAGCCACGTGGTGCTGTTAAGCACTTAAAATGTAGCTAATGTGACTGAGGTACTGAATTTTTAATTTTTTAAAATTTAAATTGCCACATGTGACTATTGGCTACTGTACTGTACAGTGCAGGTATAGAATGTCTGAGAGGGAACCTTGTTTTTGTTCATTAATGCAACCCAATACCTATGTGCCTGCTTTGTAGTAAATACTCTATAAGTCTGTTTTGAATGAATGAAAGAACAGATACCCATCAATCCTCTTCAGCCTTGAATCCTTGACTCTTGATCTGTAATTCCAGACTGAACACTTCTCAGTCATCTTCAGCTATCCCCAGACGTCTAGGTGTTTAGCAGTGATTGTTTATATCCAGGGGTCCTCTCCACAAAGTTCAGTTGTGCATCAAAGATACTGAATTACATAAATCTTATAAATTAGACCAGAGCATACTTGGCAATGTGAGTTGCTGATAAGGGAAAATGCAAGATACAGGGAAAGGTTTTCTCTATCACAGAACTCAAATTTGGGGAAAGTATTCAGTGAGTATATTCCTTCCTTTTGTGTTCTAGCCAGGAATCCACATAGTAAGTCATACTTTTCCCAAGGATAAAGAGCCCCAAGTCTGTCCCTTTTTCTCCTTTATTCTCCCAAATAAGAGCTCTTTCAACTTTTGAAAATTCTCTAAAGATAGGACTCATCATGAACTTTGAGGGACCATGAAATAAGCTGCTTCTGCTCGCTTTTTCTTATGTCAAACTCCTGATGAATGTTATCCTTATCAGAAGATTTTTTATATCTGAAAACCCATATGGCTATCCTCCATAATAATAATTATAGTTTCAAAGATGTGCTTAGCAATTAAGTAGCTTCTGAAATGTACTCATAAAACTTAAAAACAAAGTTAGATTTCGAAAGAAGGGATGAATAACACAAGTGTTGGATCATTTATTTGAAAACTGTATTCCGTGGAGCTCCTTCAGGAACTGCTACAACGATCAGAACTCCACTTGTGCTGCCTAACCCCAACTCTTTTTTAAAAAAAAATTATTTATTAATATTATTACTTATTTACATTCTAAGATGTTGCAAAGCAGTTGGGGGGAGGGGGAGAGAAAAAGGGGGAAAGAAATAGTGTGGGAGGAGGAGGCAGGAGCCGGGGCATGGTTGAAGCCCATGGCACCACCTTCATTTCAGCAGGGAGACCAGCGGGCTTCCAGTGGCAGCTTCGTCATTGCTGGGCTGGATGCAGATGTCTGGGGGGTGTGGCTGACGCCCTCAGTCCCCCACTGCCCTGGCTCAGAAGCCCAGGGTGTTTCCAGTGGTGGCCTGGTGGTCATCGCTGTGCTGGTTGTAGATGTTGGGAGGGCGTGGCTGACCCTCTTGTACCCCTAACACCCCAGCTCAGGATCCTGGAGTGTTTCCAGTGGCAGCTTGGTGGCCATCGCTGGGCTTGGTGCAGACATCAAGGGTGTGTGGCTGAGGCCCTCAGCCCCTGACCACCCCAGCTCAGGAGCCCAGGGTGCTTCCTGCGGCTGATTGGTGGTCATCGCTGGGCTGGTTGCAGGTGTCAGGGGGGCATGGCTGAGGTCCTCATCCCCCTATCACCCCGGCTGGGGAGCTTTGATGCTGATTCCCTGGGGAAGGCTTTTTGTGCAGCTTAGGTTTTAATTTTTGACCTTGTAAACACTTCTGGGTCTTGTGAGGTCCGGTACACCTGGCTTGTGTGGAAACTCTGGTCTGGTCGTGAGTCTTTTCAGCAAACTGCACCCTTTGCAATTCTATATTCTGGACCAGTCTCCACTGAATGGTCCTGCACTGATTGGAGGGCTGATCAGCTGTCCATGCTGTACCCCAATGTTCCCCCAGTGGGCCCATCTCCACCGCCTGTACTCCAAACACCTCCTATGGGATAGGCCTTGTGCCATTCCCTTGCAATGACTCACTGGCCTCTGAGTGGCTTCTTTTTACAGTTGTCTGTGGTTCCTTGCTTCTGTGTGAGTTGAGGAGAACGCTGTCAGTGGTCTTGCTGGCCTGGGGGCCACCAGGGCCCTCTTCTCCCCTGCCTTCTGCAAGCAATCTCCTACAAAGGGCATGGCAGCAGTTTTTTCCAGCTCTTGCTCCATGTACTCATCAGCTCCAGCCTTGAAGTGGCTGGGGCTCCAAATTCTTCCTTCATGGTGGCTTCTCCTGCCTTCATGAGCTCCATAGGTCCCTCCCTCCTTGTCCCTTAAGGTCTAGCAGCCCCAGCTTAGCTGTCTCACTTTTTAATAGTTGTACATTGGTTGATTTGTGGGAGAGAGTGATGCTGGGGACCACCTATTCAGCCATCCTGACCAGAAGCTCACCCAACACTTCTTCAATCTTTTCCTTTATATGTTTGTACTATTGGGAAAAAATATTTTATTTGACAAAGAGTTCAGCTTTGAAGAGTTTGAAAATCACTGCTTTTAGACTTTCTTCATGTATTGATTACCTCAGTGAGACTTTTGAAAGAAGCCAGATGGCAATGAGTTCAATGTCTAATTTTCTGATGAAAGGGTAATTAGTGTTGATAATTCAAGGGTAATGTATTTGGTTTGGATACTAAAAATGAAGCTAATGAGATTATCATTATTATGAAAAATTGATGAGTGGGACATGTATTCTTGTAAGGTTCCATGGGCAGGGAACCTTATCTAAATTAATCTAAATTAATCAAAGCTTATTTTTCTAATCAGCGGGAAAACAGAGATCCACAACAAGCTTTTCGATCATGGCTTAAAAAAAAGCATGAAGAACAGATGAAAGAAAGAAAGGCAGAAGAACTAAGAAAGCAAGAGGAATGCTTATTCTTCCTTATAGGAACAGAAGGCCGTGAAAGGGCCTTTAAACAGTAAGTTAAAGGCAGAGCATTTTCCCCCCTTCTTCACAGTCATTTTAGAAAGTTATATGATTATTAAAGCTTGAAAAAAACCCAAAATATTTTCTCTTATAGTATGTACCTGTTCAACTTTAAATCCATGCTTTAAAAAAATGTATAATTCTTTAACTCCATAATTTACATATTTATATAGTTCCTTCTTCAAGATACTTTTTAAAACTAAAATTATTTCCTATGGTACCAGTATGATAGCTTTTGATACTTACCATTTATTTATTCATTTATTGTTTATTTCTTATAGAAATGGGTCAAAGATTGGTTACAGCTTTTCCTGTATAGCCCTCAGAAAAACTGAACAAAGTTGCATTTACCAATATATTTTTTGTGTGTTAAGACATACAAGTGGGCTGAGAAGGAAAATTTGTATAGACCAAATGAAAAGGAGATCTGGGCACACATTTTGGTAATTTAAGGCAAAGCTGATCTCTTTTCAATTATCTGGTTAAGACTGCAGTACCTCGCTGATCCTGAGATTACAGACCTGTCTTCATAATTTTGCTAGCAAGCCTTAGGGAGAGTGAGGGAACAGAGTGAATATTGAGTCCAGTTGTTTGAAGTTCATTACTTTTTTCTTTTCTTTTTTGCCATCTCTTTCTTTTCTTTCTTTCTCTCTTCCTTTCTTTTCTCTTTCTCTGTGTCTCCCTCCATTTTTTTTACATGACCTTTTATTATAATAGAAACAGTAAATGGACATTGTGGAAATGGAGGGGTTTAAACTAAAATTTTAATCATCCAGAAATCATGATTGTTAGCACCAGAGTGCCTGCCTTCTAGATACGTTACAGATACTTACAATTAAAAAATATAAATTGAGATCATACTATATATACTGTTCTGCAGTGTTCTTATTTTCATTAATGAGCTCATCCAATATCCAGCCATATCTTTTTCCCCTACTGACCCGTAAATGACTTACAGTTAATTTGCTTAAATTAGCATCCAGTTCAGGAACATACATCAGGTAATAATACTTCTTACGTCTCTTTTTATTCTAACGCAGTTATTTAGTTGTTTAGGTTTGTTTCTGAAAAAAATACCTATATGTATATGTATAAACACAGACACCCCATATACACACTATTTACCAGATATACATGGGTACTTCAAAAAGATCATGGAAAGCTTTGTATTTTTTCCAAGAACTTTTTGAAGTACCTAGTATGTATGTATACAGTTATTTTTTATATTATTTTAACTAAGTGAGCTTTATAGACTTGAATTTTTTAGAATGGGGACTCTTCCTTTACCTCTTTTGATGCTTTCTTGCTGAGGCTTATTTCTCTATTTTAAGGAAGAACTATTTTCTGCACTGAAAAGCAAGAGCTTATAGTTTCCCTACCAAGAAGAGTAAGGCAGCATTTCTGCACCTAGTATTCTGAACCTGGCTAAGTAATGTTTTAAAACACAGCTAGTTGCAAAGAATAAGTTTTTTGGAAACTATCACATAGTTATTTACTTAAAAAACCATCTTAAAACAAACACAGGACCTACAGCACATGTAAAATGATTGTTTATTACTAAAAAGCCAATTAAGTTGACAATTTTATCGTAAGGCAAACTTACATTTGATCCCAAATGTAATTATGCTTTCTTGTATGAGTCTGGGGTATAAGTCTGAATTGTTTCAGTCAATACTTTAATAATTTGTTTTGTGACAGTATTTTATGTAAAGAAATGTTCATCCCCATACCAGCCAGCTGCCAATAAATAAATGAATGAATGAATGAATGAATGAATGAATGCATGCCCATTTCCTTTAATTATCTGTAGTAGTAACTTTATAACATGAGGAGCATATTCAGGTTGATACTCACCAAATCTGATCCTGCCTTTTTCTACAGATGGCTGAGAAGGAAACGGATAGAAAAAATAGAAGAGCAACAAGCTGTTAAAGAGAGAGCTAGACAGCTCCGACTGGAAGCAAAGCGTTCTAAACAGTTACAGAACCACCTTTGTATGTCAGAAGCCAAATCTTTTCGTTTTACCGATCATTATAACTGAAGGTATCTATTAAATACTTCATTTGGCAGCTGCAATCATTAAAATTTTTGATATCATTTCTTCTGCGTGCTTTGATCTTACTCTAAATTATGGAAATGGTATTTATGTTTTGGTGATGTTGACAGTAAATTTATGTTTTTTTTTTTAACACTAGAATGAAATAAATTTCTTCTCTCATAGTATTGTAATGTGTTGTGCCATCTCTTAGTCTGTACAACAAATTGAACAAATGAACTCTGTGTTGTAATACACCTAAATTGTTTTATAACATTTCTAGCTAGAATGAACACAAGAAAGGGACAAATTTCTATTCATAGTTCCTATTACCACTTTAAAAAAATGCAACAGAACATTTCATAAGGCAGGAGTGACTTCTTAAGCCTGGTTCAAGACCTTATACAAAGTCCTCTTTATGTCAACTTTGAAACTGAATAGCTGTGGCGAGGTAAGCAAAAGGATAGGCCTAATTCCACCTGTTAGTACTTAAAAAAAAAAAAGTAACAATTATGCATAATCTTTGATACATGTAAGAACGTGTAAGGGATAGGGGACAAAGTAATAAAGTAAGCATGCAAATGTGATAGAAAATGAACAGTCACTGTAAGAATTCTGTTAAAGCTTCAAAAGACAAGGTTCTCATCAACTGGGTATTTGTACCTTAATCACTTGACCCTAAATTAGAAAACACATAGAACTCTTCAGTCCTATCTCAACTTCTTATAGCACTTTGAGCATATACCAGGCAATTTAATATCAGCCACCACCTCTATATCCAGTTCCAAAATATTTTTTCACCCCAAAAGAAAACCCCTTGCCTGTTAAGCAGTCACTCCCTAATCTCTTCTCCTCCGAGCCCCTGGCAAACACTATGTGCTTTTTCTGTCTCTAAGGATTTGCCTATTCTATTTCATATAAATGAAGTAATACAATATGACCTTTTACGTTTGGCTTCTTTAACTTAGCATAATATTTTGGAGTTTCATCCATATTGTAGCATGTATCAGTATTTCATTCTTTTTTATGGAATAAAGTAATATTTGTATATGTAACATGCATCTATATACATTTTGTTTATCCATTTGTCAGTTGATGGACATTTGGGCTGTTTCCAACTTTTGGTTATGGTGAATATTGCTGCTGTGAACATTGTGTACAACTATTTGAATACCTGTTTTCAGTTCTCTTGGGTATATATCTAATGGAATGGAGTTGCTCAGTAATATTGTAATTCTATGGTAAACTATTTGAGAAATTGCTTTCCACAGAGGTCATGCCGTTTTAGTCTGACCAACAATGCATGAAAGTTTCAATCTCTCCACATCCTTACCAACACTTATTTTTCTTATTATTTTTATTATGGCCATCTTAATGTGTGTAAAATACTGTCACGTTGTAGTTTTAATTTGCATCTTCCTAATAACTAATCTCATGTGTTTGTTGGCCACTTGTATGTCTTCTTTGGAGAAATGTCTATTCATGTTCTTTGTATATTTTTTTAGATTGGGTTGTCTTTTTGTTGTTGAGTTGTAAGAGTTCTTCTCTATATATTCTGAAGACTGGATCCTTATTAGATATATTATTTGTAAATATTCTCCCTTTCTGTATGTTGTCTTTTCACTTTCTTGCTAATGTCCTTTGATGTGCAAACACTTTTGATTTTGATGAAGTCTAATTAATCTATTTTTTTCTTTTGTTGGTCATTCTTTTGGTGTCATAGCTAAGAATTCATTGTTGAACTGAAAGTCATGAAGACTTATCCCTGCGTTTTCTTCTAAGAGTACTATAGTTTCTTGGCCGGCCCGGTGGCGCACTGGATAGTGCGCCGCTTGGGAAGCGCGGCGGCGCTCCCGTCCGAGGGTTCGGATCCCACATACAGACCGGCTCCCGCTCACTGGCTGAGCGAGGCGCGGGAGCAACGCCGAGGCTTGCGATCCCGTTGCCGGTCCCCGGTCCGGTACGGGGGCAATACTGAGGGTTGCGATCCATTGCCAGACACGGAAAAAAGACAAAAGACAAAAAAAAAAAAATAAGAGTACTATAGTTTCAGCTCTTATATTAAGCTGTTGGTAAACTTTACCTAATTTTTGTATATGGTATGAGGTAGAGTGAATAAAACAAACTTTTTTTCTTCTACACTCACTCTCAACACTCAATATTTCATTTCTAACACCAGATGTTTAGGTGTTTTCCACCACACCAAGCAATTTTCCAGTTCTCTGCAGACACCAGCTAGGTGTCCTACAATTCACTAAACCAGAGTTAGTGCAGACCCTACAGGTTACGGGCTGACTCCCATGAGGCTGCCCCCCACTTTATATATTCTGGACACTAGACCCTTATTAAATATATGATTTGAAAATATCTTCTCCCATTCTCTGGATTGCCTTTTCAATGTGTCCTTGGATGTACCAAAGTTTTAAACTTTGATGAAGTTCAGTTTACCTATTTTTTCTTTTGCTGCCTGTGCTTCTAGAGTCATGTCAAAGAAATCACTGCCAAATCCAATGTCATGAAGCTTTCCCCTTCTGTTTCCTTCTAAGAGTTTTATACTAAGTATCTATAGCAAAAAGCTGAAAAATCAATTGTAAGTAGCATAAGCTAGATGAAGAGTTGAAGCAAAGCACATCTCTCTGGGGGAAAGAAATGAATATTCACAATAAAGAAGGTAGAGAAATTTATTGCCACTTGAAACCATAAACATTACTGATGAGTCAGACAAAAAAATCATTAAGTTGACATTGCAATCTTATTATTTGACCAGATTTGTCTTTTGAAGACTTCTCTACTGATAGGCACTTCTGCAACTAATTTGTATAATTTGGCATAAATATTTTTTAAACATTTTAAAGGCCAATAAAGGGGCATTTTATGATGGTTTCAGCACAAATACACAATAATATATATTACATAATATATATTAACTGATAGATTACATTTTTTGAGTTTATACAATGTTCTAGAAAGATTCTACCTTCTCCATAATATTTTATAAATATCAAGTTGGATATTCCTGTTGTGTGTTGCATTTGCCAAAATGAGTCAATAATTAAGATTTTGCTTCTTTTATATATGTCAGAATGAGTCCATCTAGAATATGAAATCCTCTGCATAAAACAAACATAATAACATGTTTGCTGAAGTATTTGTTATTTTGGCTCTAAAACATTTTTAATTTTCCTAACATATAGCATTTATTTTTAAAAGATTAGTCCTTTCACCCATATTCTTTCTGTAAGCCTCTTCTGTAGCCCAGAGAATTATGATAAAGGGAAAGGAACCCTCGGCTATTATTACTTTACAGTGAGAATCAGAAAATGTTTTCTGTAAAGGACCAGTAGTTAATACTTCAGCCTTTACAAGCTCTGCCGCATCTATTCAACTCTGCTGTTACAGTGCGGAAACAGGTTAGATAACTGTGAATGAATTGGTATGGTCCCATTTGATACATGGTTGTAGTTTGCCTATCCTTGCTTTAGTGCACCAAAATGAAATCTGTTTGTATAAAATATCTAGTAAGATAAATACTAATTTAGGGCCTAAAAAAAGTTATGGAATCTTTTTAGAGTCTTTTAGGAAAAGCATTGTATATTGCCTGAAAAGTATTCTCTATTTTAAATGTAGCTATACAATTTCATTCTTTTCTTACCATGAGATATTTATTAAGAAAGGGTAATATGGAGTCCAGTACATGAAATATCCTTGGGGATATACAATATGTAAATAAGAAGCCATATTCGTTTTAGCATTATAAGAACCCCAAACTCCTAAATAATAATGACTCTTAGGTAATAAGCAAGTGCCTACAGCATGCCTCCAACATACTGAATGTTAAAGAACAGTAAGTTCTCCTTTGCAGTGATTGCAGCAATTGAAAGTTATATTTTCATATGTAGTATAGGGATGAAATCGTCCAATATTTTTCTTTGTAGCAAGTAAGGTGGTTGGTGAAGACTCAGAAAATGGATTATCAGGTGAGCTTTCTGTACGGGTAACTGGATCCAAAATGCATAGGACCTAAGGAAATTAAGAAGTAATGTCAGATTTATTTAATATGTACTATAAAATTCATCATCAATATATAACTACCTATAAAGTTACATTTCATTAGTATGTAACTACCATTCAAAAAACATCTGAATGATGAATTTAAGAAGAGAACATCCCTTTTCTCAAAAAGTTCTAAATTTAACAATCATGTCTAGTTACTACATTACCTGGGTTACCTATTTTTTAAAAAATGATGAAATCAATGCTATTTTATGGATGTTGATGAAAAAGCTTGAAAACATAGAAGAAAATGAGGTTGTATCAATTCTATCTTAAGTGAAGTCAATTTTTACCTTTAACCAGAAAGTCCCCACTATCTCCCTTGGTCAATATTTCATTCAACTGCTTGGAATCAGGATTTTGCCTTCATTCTTCTGTTAAAATGCTATTTCAAACTCTTTGATCACTTTCTATTTGTAAAATCTATTTTCTAATTTATATGCAATATTTTATGCTAACAACCATGTTTTTGTTTCTTGGGTTCCACAACACCACACTTTCCTAATTCTTCTTCTGCTTTGACTTTTCCCATTCTGTCTCCTTTACTGAGACCCAAAACAGAGGAACTCTTAGGTTGAAAAAAATTTCCTGATTAAGGGCAAGGATGACATGTCTAGCTCTTTGCTCTTGTTTCTCATGTTCGTATTCTCCCAACCATCATCACATGATGAGGATAGGTTATAGTGCAAAAGAAGTAGGCACTACAATTGGAAAGAAATTGGGAAATGAACTGAGGAAAGGGCTTTCTCTCTTTTTTGTATGACTTATTGAAAGGAGCTTTCAGAATGGCTGGAGATGCCTGTTTCCTTAGCTCTCGTGTTGTCCAGATTTTTTTTTCCTTTTAAGTTACTACCATACCCAAAGAGCCATAGCTACTTTAAGAATGTCCTGGCATCATCTACGAGCTACCATTCTATTTTAGGACCTCTAATTTTCAACTAGACCCTGCCTTTTCAATTTGGTTTTTCAGATCCTTCTATTTTTACGGAACTTGGTTAGGTGTTAGAGAACAAGCAAAGATGAAGGGCTTACCTTGAAATTGCTTATAAATTTGGAAGGGAAAATAAGAAAAGTTCCCCAGTACTATATTATGTTATTACATTATGAGCCTTTAGGGAGAAACAAGATGCTAAAG